AATCGTTTTTTGCTCTGCTATTTGTTTTCCTTATTTTTAGGAAATACCTTTTAGGTTATGTATTTTTAAGAAATACTTTGAGGATGGGTCAAGCAAGCTCCCAGACGTCAAATGTTTTGAATTGATGTTTTTCGAAGAAACGGAACTCGTTAAGCCTAATCAAGTAAGTGTTTGTTTTCGTTATACATCGATGTTTTAGAATCAAAGTATGGAATTTCTAAGGCCAATTAAAGCCTTATCGGTGAAAGCGATTGCTATATGGAAATACTGGATAAAATTTGTTTTAAATTATCACCTTGTGCTTTAGAAATTGTAGAAGGAACTATGTGAAGCCAGAAATTCTTCCTGTAGATGCTCCGTTTCAACAAGAGAAATAATGAAGCTGTTAGAATTCAAATGCAACACTAGTGCTATGATGGTATTAACGAATTCCATGACGGAAGAAACTCTGCAAAAAGTTATGAGATTTTCAGACTGCTAGAGAAGTGTGGTTGGAATTAAAGTTATTTGAAGCATCTCAGAAAATCACTTGTATAATATATGCAATTTTTTCAATTCAAGTGGATGAAAAATAATATGGCAGCTCGTCTTTCCAATTAAAAAACTTATGGAATGAGTTGAATTAGGCTTGAAAAGAAAAGGAAATAGTTAAAAAATTCAAAGCTTTTAGAGATGTCTTACCAGAACAATACCATTTGTTAAGTCAGTTGGTTATCTTGGGTGAAGACAAAAACAGTTGAGAGTTAACAGCACAGCTTTGCTCTCATGAAAGAGAATTTAAAGTCATAGAAAAGGCATACAAATGAAAAGTGGCATTAGTAATGTCAAAATCTGAAAAACAAAAGCAATATAAAAAGACAAATTCAGAAGAAAACCAGAAAAGAAGATATTTTGCAATTATTGCAAAAAGAAATGACACTGGGTAAAAGATTGTAAACATGGATTGCTGATGGAGACCCACCCAAGATAGGTTAACGAAAACCAATGAAGGAAATCAGGCAGTAATACTGATGTCCATTGACGAAGAGGCTAAACTGATCAAACATCTTTTGGATTGATAGTGGAGCTAAAGACATATCATGAATTGTTTTCACATACTTTATTGACTTATAAGTTTGATAGTCCCTGCATCAAAACTGCTGGAAAGAAACTTTAGTTGCTCTTGGTAAAGGTACAGTATGTGTCAAAACAACTATTGGTAGTAAAATCCAAAGAATTTACCTAAGATTTTGGTATGTCCACGAGATAAACACAATTTTATTTTCTTTACTTGCTGCTCAAGATAGAAATCCGAATATAAATTTATTTCAACAGGTACAGAATGCTGTTAAAGGTTAATGGTCAAGTAGTGCTTTTTTGGAACTCGCAAAGTATATGGTACTTTATACAAGGCAGCTTCGAACCTATTATGCCTGATAAATTATAGAAGTGCATGCTGCTGAAGCAGACAATTCCTTGTTGAGTTATATCATCAGAGATGAGCACATCAAGATAAACGTCAATTAAGAACATACTTGAGAAAGAATTAGGAATTCAAATCCCCATTTGAGAAATTGTGTGAACCTGCATTTTTGGCAAAGCACACCGTTTACCATTTGGCATGAGAACCAGCTAGCAGCCTGGTGAATTAATTTCAGCTGATGTCTGTGACTTTTGATTAATCATTCCAGAGGAAAAGATACTTAGTTGTGTTTAAAGATTACACAAAGTTTCGTTACGGGTATTTTATTAAGGAAAAATCTGCTATTGTAAATACACTCATGTCCATAAATTAAGGATAATTCGGAGTCACGCGGAAATTGAACTCTAAAATAAATTTATCACCTGTAAAATCACTACACACATCTTCAAGAATCATATGCAAATTTCAGGAAGTAACCAGATGACACCGATGGTACGTCACAATGACGAGAGTGTAAGAGAGTGATATATAAGGAATGCAGGCAAAGAAGTAAAATTGTTCGCAGGCGCTTTATAAGCATTTCAGTTCAATAACCGAATAGTTATGACACGAAGGACGCTTTTGGATGATTTTTTAAGTGGTAGAATTATCGGTCATCTGGAATGTGGGCGTACCCAACTGGAAGTATCAGACGAACTTGGAATTGCCCAGAGTGTCATCTCCAGGCTTTGGCAGGCGATTCCAAGATGATGGTAATGTGAGTAGACGTTACAGCACAGGTCGCTCCAGAGTTACAACGCCGAATGAGGACCGGTGTTTGGCAGTTACTGCCAAAAGAAACAGGGGGAGCACAGCCTCAGACCTGTCTCGTCAGCCACTGGTACGACAATTTCAAGGCAGACCGTGTACAGACGCTTAGGGCAGATTGGTCTATATGCTCGTAGACCTGTCAGATGCGTTCCACTTACAGCAACACACTGTCGCCTGCGGTTAGCCTGGAGTAGAGAGCATGCATTGTGGACACCGCAACAGTGGGCTTGTGTGATGTTTTTCGACGAGTCCAGGTTTAGCTTGCAGTCTGATTCTCGCCGGACTTTCATATGGAGAGCTCCAGGTACCCGTTACCACCAAGAAAACATCATTGAACGACACCGTTACGGTGGTGCAGGAGTGCTCGTTTGGGGTGGAATTATTCTGGGTTTCAGAACTGACCTGCATGTTCAAATTGGAACCATGACAAGCCAAATCTATCGGGACGTCATTCTGGAACAACATGTACGTTTGTTTCGGGGCGCCATGGGCGCACAATTTGTGTTTATGGATGACAACGCCCGTCCTCACCGTGCAAACATCGTAAGCGAATGCCTTCAATCGGAGGATATCACCCGTATGGACTAGCCAGCATTCTCACTGGACTTGAATCCAGTAGAGCACGTGTGGGACACGCTTGGCCGACGAGTTTCAGCCCGTCAACCTCCTCCTACATGTCTATCGGAACTTCGGAGAGCATTGCTTTTTGAGAGGTGTAATATCCCCAAAGATCAGATCGATAATTTGATACTCAGCATGCCTAGGCGTTGTACGGATTGTATTGCATCGTCTGGGAGACATACAATGTATTAACAATCATACCAACCATGTAATATTGGTTTTTTGTAAATAGGTTTTTTTTTTTTTTTTTTTTTTTTTTTTTTTTTTTGTAATAATTTGCTCCAGGGAGAAAAATCGCTAATTTTTTTAATAATATCAAACATATAGCATTTTTTTTGCTCTTTACCTTTTGTTTAATAAATAAGCTTTACAAATAAGTCAAATTTCTTTTGCTTCTAACACTTCCTTTGCCTGATTTTACATTATCCTTAATTTATGGACATGAGTGTATGTTACAACACATGCTTTGCACACGCTAAAATTTAGGACATTCAGTCAAAGAATTTCTCAGCGATAATGAGGCGAGTTTAACAATGACAAATTGCTGCTATTTGCATTCTGAAGGTATAACTCAAAGACTAACAGCACCTTATTCTCCTGAGCAAATGGCTCTAGTGAAAGAGACATACGTACATAATCAATGGCAAGAACATTTAAGTGCTCAAATTCTGAAGCTCATTTTCCTGCACAATGGGCTGAACTAGTCAACACTGCCATATATGTACTAACAGAACTGGCAATCATCGTAGAAGGCATAAGTCCTTATGAGCTATGGTTAAAAAGAAACCTCGAATTAGCATCTTCGTTATAGTAGAATCTGTGTGTTATGCCCATATTCCTAAACAAAGAAGAAGAAAATGGATAATAAGGCTACAAAGCTTATTAATTGGTTATGATGGAGACGAAAGATACCGACTATGGATCAAAGAAACCAATAATGTGATCTGTTTCACGTGATATTATATTTAGCGAAAAGCTCACAAATTGTAAGAAATGGTGCAGTTTACCTATTCAAGATCAAGAAGCCTAATTTCTGGCTTGAACATCAACAAAATTCAGAAAAAAAGATAAGTCAGAAAAGTTTTCTTTGTGAAGAAGAATAATTCAGAAAAAGAATGCGACAATAAATATCTGGAAAAATATCAGAAGAACATTTAAAAGACAGAAATGTGAAGATATTATTGCAAATAAGCACAGTCAAGATACCTAAGAGATAGAGCTGACTTGAAAAGCCAAAGCGTTTTTGAAGATTAATAATGATAAGTGAAGCTTTTATTATTGATTCTGAAAGCCCGAATCTTATGAAAGAGCGATCAACTGTAAGCAAAGTGTTAATTGGAAAAAAGCTATGGATTCAGATGAAATCATGATAGAGAATGAACATGGAGTTTAGAAAAATTACCAAAAGATGCTAAAGCTATACCATGAAAGTTGCAAGTCAAGTGGGTTTATAAGATCAAAAGGAATCCTGATGGATCTATTGATAAATTCAAGGCTAGACTTGTTGCCAAAGGATGTACTCAACGTTTTGGAGTTGATTATAATCAAACGTTTAGTCCAGTAACAAAGTTAGGAACTATTCGTTCAGTTTTGAGCATCGCAGCCAATGAGAAAATGCATCTTTCTCAGTTTGATGTTGGTTTATATACATGCAGCAACCAGAAGGATATGTGACGGTTCAGAACGTCTGTAAGTTGAAACGCAGTTGTATGGACTTAACAATCATTACGCTGCTGGAATAAATATTTTGGAGATTTTGTGTCGCAGCTGGTCTTCAAGACAGTGAACTGATCCATGCTTATATATAAGAACAATAACGGCAAGAAGCTAATCGTATGTTATATGTAGATGATGGTTTAGTAGCTCAACAATCTACAAGAATCTGAAAAATTTCTCAGAGAATTGAAGTCGAGATTCAGAATCACAACTAAACCAGCAGTATACTTTCTTGGACTTGAAATTAAACATCTGAAGATGGAAGTATTAAATTAGTCAGCAAACTTATGCAAGGAAAATTCTTCAAAAATTTGGGATGGAAGATTTGCAAAGCCTGTGTCAACTCCTATCCCTGAATGGAAAGTTTAACTGAAAGGAAAAAGAGTTAAGCCAAACACAGAAATTTTCCCCTATAGAGAAGGTGTAGGAGCTTTAATGTATTTTATGTTAGGTACAAGACCAGATTTAGCTTATTGTGTCAGCATTCTTTCACGTCATTACCTTGAAAGTCCATCTAAAGACAATTGGTTCAAAGTGAAACATGTATGTAGATACATAACAGGTTCTTTTACTAAAGATATTACATAGAAAAACAAACACAAACCAGGAGTATTGGAGTGCTATTAGTGATGCAGATTTAGGAGGATGTCAAGAAACAGGGAAAATCTACAAGTGAAGTAGTAATATTATATAGAGCTATATCGCTATATCATGGATTAAGCCAAAGGACAAGTCAGTTGTTGCAACCTTTGAGAACTGAAGCAGATAGTAATTGCAGTTAAGTGAATGTTCTAGAAAAGTAGTATGTTTTATAGTATGTGTTAAAGTGATTATTTAGTGATGTTATGAAGTTACATGAAGTTCCAGTAATTCAAGTAGACAAAACCATTGCACAAAAGATTGCCACAAAATCCTGAATTTTCAACTGATGTACAAAACACATTGATATCAAGCATCTTTTCATACGAGAGAAAGTTCTAGAAAAACAAATCATTGTCTAGCAGATACCTACAAGAGGAACAAGTTGCTGACATGACTAAACCTCTATTTAAACCAAACTGAGACAGTTGATTCTTTGTGATAAGATGGGACTTTTGTGACTTTTTTTTTTCTTTTATTTATTTTATTATTTTTTACAAGGAGAAGTATTAAGTATGTAATAAAAAAATAATAATATAATATAGAGTTTAGATAAGTTCTGGCAACAGTGTGTTGTTGTCATCAGGGAGATCGCGCTTCGCGATACTGTCGTTCAAAAAATAGCTATAGTTTGTAATTCCATAAAAAGCATCGTATTTTTGCTCTGCTATTTGTTTTCTCTCTATTTTTAGAAATACCTTTTTAGGTTATGTATTTTTTAAGAAATACTTTTTTTACAGACCATGCACGAGATAGACACTGCTATCAGCCAGTTGACTACGGATATTCAGACTGCGGATAAAAACGCCACCTGGAAAATTCCTAGGCAGCAGATCGCTGATAGACTTCCAAGGCAGATTAGAGATCTGATCAAAGACAGGAACAAACTCAGAGAAAGGTTTCATATTACATGGGATCCAAATACCAAAAAGCAGCTTAATAAGGACATTAAGAAGCACATTACAAATTACCGCAAGGAGCTCTGGGACGAGAAAGTCGCTAGCTACAATGAGCCCAATAACGCGTTCTGGTCGTAAAGAGATTAAAGAGTAAACACACGGTTAACAAGCCAATCTGTGTGGAGTATCGTGTTGCTTTTAATAAAGATAAGACTACTATTTTTGCTGATCACTTTGAGAAGCAATTCTTCTCTAACATCACTCCTAGTAATCCAGAGTTTTGGACTAAGGTCAGCTCCTATATCTCGGACTGGACTAGTGCTTCTCCTAACAAAATCACCTTGAGCTCACCTCGCCCCGAGAAATTTTGGATATCGTTAAGAAACTACGGAACAGGATGGCGCCTGGTTTTGATAACATTAATAATGTCGCCTCAAGTGTCTTCCCTTAAATATCATCTCAAGGTTCACTAGCATCCTAAACACATGCCTCTATCACAGTTACTTTCCCGAGTTATGGAAGACTGCTAAAATGATTGTAATCCCGAAACCGGGAAAAGATCTGACAAAACCTGAAGGGTACATGCTCATCAGTCTGCTTCCCAGTATGGGCAAGATTTTAGAGCTCAGTTAACAGTTAACGGGGGACGTGTGCACCATCCCTTTACAGCCTCATCTCGATAAACTTCCTATGGAGCAATTTGGTTTTAAGGAAAGCCCTCTCCACCACCAAACAATTGGTACGGCTAAATGAATTTATTGGCAGCGCGCTGCACAACAAGAGATGTGTTGCCTTACTCATGCTGGATGTGGCGAAAGCATTCGACCGTGTCTGGCATGAAGGGCTTATTTACAAGCTTATGGAACTTAACTTCAGTAGCGAGCTGATTCAGATAATTAACTCCTTTCTTACGGATAGGACTTTCTTCGTGCACATGGGAAATGAATCCTCTGACAACAAGAAAGGGATGGCCGGCGTCCCACAGGGGTCCATTTTAGGTCCCATTTTGTATTTGCTTTACGTGGCTGATTTGCCTACATACAACTTGGATCATAATGTTTTATGGGCTGTTATGCGGACGACACGGCGCTTGCTGTCAAGTCTGCATCATCTAATTTCGCAATCACTAAATTGCAGAGTTTAATGCCGCACCTTGAGATGGGGTGCTCCAAATGGAGGATCGCCATAAATGCCGAGAAATCTAGACTTATTATTATCAGGAAAAAGAGAATGAACACCCCTCTTGCTAAGACATTGTCATTATTTGGTACTGTCGTGCCGGTTTTTAACAAGGCCACGTACCTCGTGTCAAATATAGCTCCAATTTTCAGTGGAAAGAGCACAAAAATTATGACAGAAGTAAGACGGCAGGGGTAATTCAATGCCTCACACCCCTTCTTTCCCCATATTCAAAGCTGGACTTAGGACGCAAGAGACATATTTATATCTCGATCATTCGTCCCATTTTTGCCTATGCGCCATCCCCCTGGGCTTCTTTCTATAAAAAGGAACTCAATAAATTGCAAGTTACGCAAAACAATCTGCTCAGGATGATGACCAGAGCGCATTACTTTGTGTCAAATCAGACTCTTCACAAGGACTTGAAACTTGAGACAGTAGAGGAGTACTTGCACAGAACGAATGTAAACTTTTTCACAAAAGCACAGGACTGTAGGTACATGGGAGACCTTAATGTATTTAAATATATTGTTCTTGAGGAGGACTCCATTTATAGACCGCTTGCGGCCCACCTCGCTCGGGACTTGAATTTTCCTACTTAGTTATCTCACCGCTTTGTATATATGTTAGTACTTTTATTACGTATTTCATATTGTGAACTTGTATTTCAATTCGTAACTGATATTTTATGTCACTTTACTGTGCATGCTGTGTCATTTATTGTATATAGTTTTGTATTTATTTATGCTACCTTCTCATGTATTGTTTAAATTTTTCTTGTATCACTTGTCTGATTTGTCTTTGCTACTCACTGCATCAACACAAACATACACCACAGTGTACCTCACAGCTCCTTAATTTCACTTATCTTGTGTTAAAGGTCTTGCTTCATGAGCCGGACACATCGCGCCTTGCGCGATATCCCGGCGATACTAGCGCGGATACGGATACGGATACTGTGCTCAAACCAGAGTTACGTTTTCTAGTGTGGGTTTTGATTCCATCTCTTGAAAACCTTTAATATGGCTGCTTTTCAGAACGCAGTGAGATTTGAGGTCTTCGAATTCGAGGCCCCTGCTAAACGGGCACCAACAATAAGCCTTTTTTCAAATGGTAAATGATATGTCGTTTTTTCCATTTTATTTCATTCATCGTGAAAAGCACTCTTACACCTTACTTATACTAGCATTCTAACCACGTGTAACCCACGTTATAAAAAAACAATTTGCATACTTCATCCCTAGCACGCATTCAAAGTAAAATATCAAAGGTTTCTAATTCATTGGCCAGTGTGTGTGCAATACAAAATGCAGAAAATTGTTGGCACGAAGAAAAGGGAAGAAAATTATTAATATTATCCCCGACAGAAAGAAGTATCTTATTTCACAGTGATAATGATGTTTTTCCTTAATCTCTCTGTACCTGCTAAGAAAACAGACAAGCTCAGTCTCAGTTTAATCCCATCATTAAATGCTTACCAGCAGTTGAGCGATAAAGTCACTGAGCACTCGTAGTTTGGTCCGGGGTTCGAATTCTAGCGAACGGGTGGGCAGCATGGGAGTTTTTGTTATTTTCCGTGTGCACAACACGGATACAAGTCATTTCCCTCAAAAGGTCCTCCACGAAGGCACCCCTTTCCTTAAGGAGATAGCCCATGCGGGCTTTGTCATAAGTAAATAAACCCAGCACATATTTATTTAGCTCAAGAGTAATGGTAACCTAGCGGTAAAATTACTGGGCACTGGTCACTCAACCGTATAAAATCCGGGCGAACATAGCTAGCTGCATGAAGCCTGCGTACTGTTCCCATATACCTTAAGCCCTCTCAAAAGACATGCCTTCCCTTAAAAATTTATCAAGAATAATTTTTCCACTTCATGAATAAAAAAAATAACTTATGGCTTTTGGAACATTTTCGGAAAAAATTGCTTAAGATTCTTTGCTTTGCTTTTCATTTGTATATTTAGGCAATATTTGGAGTATAAATATGAATATTCATAGTATAAATATGAATATTCAAATGGTAGCTATTTAATGTATTTCTTCGATATTAAGAAGCATCCTTGAATTTATACCACCAACGGGAGGAAAAAAGAGAAGGAAAAAGGAAAAGATTTAGGCATGCAAACTTTCATGTGCTTTGAGAGAAGTGAGAGATAAATTCAAGTTATTTAACCCTTATCCATCTTTAAATAGCTTGCATTGTATTTCTAAAGACAGCAATATTCTTTTCTAAAAAAATTGAACGTCTGTAATGAGAAGCATTTGCATGTTTTTAACCAATCGTAATGAAAGTTTTTGCCTATTCTTTTTTTATTTATTTTCATACTTTATGAAGGCATAGGTGTAAATATAAGCAAAATGTATCTCTCAGTTTGTTCCTTCCAGAAAAAATAAGGGAAAAAAGTCCTGTCATTACACGCTTATATATCTTCAACCAGAGAATATCTGAAGAAATTTATTTCCGCAATCAACCGCTAACATTTTAGTAAAAGAATAAAAAATTAATTTCCTGAGCAGGTTTCTGAGAAACGAGAAAATTACGCCTCATTTAAGCTTAGGCAGTTAACAGAAATTTGTTAGCGTATAAAAATGTTTGCTGTCTCCGAATTTAATAAGAAACTGATATTTAAACAAGATCGGCTGCAATTAAATTCTACATCAAATGGTTCGGTGGTAATCTACTATTTCAATAAATATGCATTAATGTTTAAAGCAGGATGTTTTTTTAAATATGACTGGAAAATGAATCTGATTGAGAAAATCTAAATATTAAAATTCTAATCTACAAACACAAAGCCAAGAATTTTCTTGCATTTCTGACAAATTCGCCTTTTACCATTTCTTGTGCTGCCTCTGAGCGAAGTCAAAAATCTCTTCAGAGCGGAATAATTAGATTACATTACACTCTTTAAAAAATAACGAAAAGCAAAGTTAACGTTTTCGAAAAATATAAACTCCCCCCTTTTTTTTCCCTGAAATTTCTAAGTTAGATCAGTTTGTAAGGTCCCTCACTTGAAATTCTAAGTTAATGTTGGAAGTGAGGAACCTAGGAACTGATAAGCGAATAATCGCTAGAGTTCGAAGACAGGAAATAACAAGAGAGAAGGATAAATAACTCTTTATTGTTTCGATAACATTTAACAAAACTCCGCCTGGGAGTGTACAAATAAAGTCCGCACTTTGGACTTGAACTTAAAAGACTAAGAATTAAACTAAAACTAAGATTAACTAACTAAGTATAGCCAAAGCTAACAAGGTTCAATGAGAGTTGACCCCTTAACTTATTTTACTACGAAGCTTAGCAAGGGCCTGAGTACGGCCGAGCGTAAAACAGCTTTGAGAGAGAGAGCGGCCAAAAAAGCAGACGCGCGTATTTTCTCTCTCTGTCTCAGTAACTTCGTGGTTTAAATACCGCTCCTTCTCATTAAATATTCAGCAAATTCCAAAACTACGTTCTGGCCGGAAGTAGTAAGTTGAAGTTAAGAATTTAACAGGAAAGGAACTTTAACTTAAAATTTAACTGTTAGTAAAATTAACATAATCCTTGCAAGTTAACCATTCATTTTAATTATAAACAGCGGAAAAGATAAAACTGTTTTGCACACAGAGTTATGCTCCATATTTTATTAATATCGAATATAGCAAAACTTGCAACTAGGAATTTAAAGCATGTCATAGAAGATAAAATAGTGAGTTGTGAATTAGAAAATTTAAGCTGCAAGATCCTTTTACTTACGAATTATCCTTTTATTAAATGAAACATTTTTCAGAAAATATGATCTTCTAAGATGAACAAAAAAAACGAGCCGCAAAAAAAAAAAAAAAAAAAAAAAAAAAAAAAAGTAAATAGCACTTCCAAATAGCACTGAAAACTACTTTCATATTATTAAATCTACCTTTTAAATAGCCACATTAAAATGTTCCGTGACGGTCGGTATGTTGATCAAGAAAACTGG